GCCATCTTGGATCCTACCCTGAATATACATGTTTTTAGTAAGACACATTTATTTTTATAGAAGGGTGTGTCTTGTGGATGGAGTAATGGTGAGAACACCATGAATAAAGGAAAGCAGGGGTTTTTAATTTGAACACTGTTGGCCTTAGTTGCTGTGTTGTTCCTCTATTGGTTGGGGTCAGACCATATAGTTTAAGTTAAACGCAGCTAGCCAATTTGAAGAGCACAGGGAGAAACAGCTTTGGTGGGGAAAAGCTGTTACAGCAGGGACAGGGTGAATTTTTGGTGGGCAAGTCTGAGCACAGCAGGGTGGGAGGGGCTGATAGAGTGGCAGGCAAAATAACTTCAGATGAAGAATGGGCAAATAAGAGTTCAGGACAGATAGTACAAGGAAGTAAAGACCTTTTGGAGAAGAACATTTTGTAACTAAGTGGAACTCTTTGAAGAGGAACCGTTTAAACTACTTTGTTTTAACAGTTAACAAGCCCATTGCAGTTACGGAGCTAAAGTTCTTTTCTTGAATCCAGCTATTACTGGTAATAAAACTAACATGTTTGTTGTCATCTGTCTCACATTTGTTTCTGACCCTCAGTGGTTTCAGAACTCAGCAAAACAGGAGCTATTTACTAGCTCACTAAAGTCTCAACCCATCAATCAGATCCTATCGCTCCTATTTACTTTCTGCACCTTTCAAGCCCCGCATGACAGTTTTTAGGGCCCTTCAGGATCTGGTGCTGTGTAAGTTGCTAGCCTAGCACTACCCAGTACAAACGGAATGCACACAACAAATATGGTTTTACATTTTCCAGTAGACCTGTTGAAAAAAGTAAAAACAAGAAGATGACATTAATTTTAATAATATATTTTACTTAACCCAATGTATCTGAACTATTATTTCAACATATTATCAATATAAAAATTGTTACAGATATTTTCCTTTTCTTACAGTCTTTGAAATTCAGTGTGTATAGCTGGATTTGTAGGATAACTCTATAAACTATGGATTTATCTATAATTGCAATTGGGACTAAAACCATACTCTCCAGCAAACCTTTGTGACATGTGTTTATATATGTAACAAACCTTCACATGCACCCCCAATCCTAAAATAAAAATTAAAACGAAAATGGTATTCTCACTTTGGAAAACCATTTGGCACTTTCTTATGTGGTTAGGTCTACTAACAGTTTCATGCCTTGGTATTGATAAAGAGAAATGAAAGCCGTGTCCACGAATGGACTCTGCAAGTATCCTTAACAGCTTTATTCTTTTTTTTTTTTTTTTTTGAGATGGAGTTTCGCTCTTGTTACCCAGGCTGGAGTGCAATGGCATGATCTCGGCTCACTGCAACCTCTGCCCCCTGGGTTCAGGCAATTCTCCTGCCTCAGCCTCCTGAGTAGCTGGGATTACAGGCACACGCCACCATGCCCAGCTAATTTTTTGTAAGTTTTAGTAAAGAGGGGGTTTCACCATGTTGACCAGGATGGTCTCAATCTGTTGACCTTGTGATCCACCCGCCTCGGCCTCCCAAAGTGCTGAGATTACAGGCTTGAGCCACCGCGCCTGGCCAACAGCTTTATTCTTAATACCCAAAAACTGGAAATAATTTCAATGTCCATTAGTAGGAGAACGGATTTTTTTTTTTTTTTAAAAAGCACCTTAATATATTCACACAAAGCAATACTGCTCAGGAATAAGAATGAACAAATTGCTGATACATATAACTAGGGAATCTCAAACACATGGTTTTGCACAAAAGAAAGCAAATACAAAACACACACACTTTTATTTATATGAAATTCTAGAGTGGGAAAGCTAAGCTATGATGATAGCAATGAGATCAGTAGTTGTCTTGGGAGGGGAAGGGATTGACTAAAAGGGGCAAGAGTTTGTGTTTTAGAAAGATGTGAACATTTTCTTTCTGCAATGAAGTCACGTTTACAGGGCTGTATGTATCCATCAAAACTCTTCAAACTGCGTTCTTAATTGGGTGCGTTTTATGGTACATTACTCTTGCTTAGATAAAGTGATTTTTTAAACATCAGTTCTAACCACTAGCTCAGGGTTTCTCAATACTATTGATGTTTTCTTTCAGATAATTCCTTGTCAGTGTGTGGGGCTGCTTTGTAGGATTGTAGGATGGTTAGCAGCATCCCTGATCTCTACCCATGAAATGCCACTAGGCACCCTTCCAAGTGGTGTCAACAGACAACAAGGCATGCCTCCATACATGGCCAGACAGCCTAGCAGGGAGGAAAAAATCACCTTTCCTTTACCCTCTTAGGTTCAGTGAAATTTAAACTGACAAAAGGCAGATGAAGAGGAGGGGAAAGACATTATTTACACATGCAAAGCACATGCATGCAGAACTCAGTAATAAGTAACTCAAGGGGTGGTTAGAATCTGGGGTTTATTTACCATCTTAGTATGTGAGGTGGGATGGAAAAGTCACTTACAGGGGAGAAAAATGGCTTTTTGGAAAGATAAATGGGTTTTTGGGAGAACAAAGAGTAGATAAAGTGTGTGATAATGTTTGACTATTCAGGGATATGAGCAGTGTTTTTGCCTCCTTTGGGGCCATAAAACTACCTTGGAGAGAGATTTGGGGTAGTTTTGTTCCTATTCTACCTTCTGGAAGTAGATTTGCCTTAAAGAGGAATTTATGGCAGCCTCACTTCCCAAAGGTTGATGCATTGGGTCAGAAAACTAAAATTCAAGTTCTGAGGATTCTTTATTCCATGCATCTGTTGAATCTCAAGTGTCTTAAGCTTAAAATAACCTTTATGCCAATGTGGCATATTTTGGGATGGCGTTTTCTGATCCCCATCATTGTCTCAAGGGCAAAATTTCTCCCATGGCTGGAAACTGCTATGCTAGCTCAACTCTCTTTGCTTAGTTGATTCTTTCCTTCCTTCTTTCATTCAACAAAGACGGACTGAGTTCTACCCTGTGTTGGGCACTGTGTGAGCATCTGTGACACAGCAGGGGGCAAAAGACAAATGTCCCTGTTCCATGGAGCTTCGATTCCAATTGGCCAAGAGAGATATATTTTAAATAAGTGTCTAGGTAGAAGGGACAAAATATGAAGTGGGACTAGGTGAAGGGGAAAGGAGGGCTACGGTAAGACGTGGGTTGCCATTTTTTTTCTCTTTTTCTTTCTTTCTTTTTTTAAATTGCATTTTAGGTTTTGGGTACAAGATTGTTGCATAGGTACACACGTGGCAGTGTGATTCCCATCACCTATATCTGGCATTTCTCCCCATACTATCTTTCCCCAACTCCCCACCCCCCGCTATCCCTCCCCTATTTCCCCCCAACAGATCCCAGTGTGTGATGCTCCCCTCCCGTGTCCATGTGTTCTCACTGTTCAACACCCACCTATGAGTAAGAACATGCAGTGTTTGATTTTCTGTTCTTGTGTCAGTTTGCTGAGAATGATGGTTTCCAGGTTCATCCATGTCTCTACAAAGGACACAAACTCATCATTTTTGATGGCTGTATGGTATTCCATGGTATAGATGTGCCACATTTTCCCTGTCCAGTCTATCATCAATGGGCATTTGGGTTGGTTCCAGGTCTTTGCTATTGTAAACAGTGCCACAATGAACGTACGTGCACATGTGTCTTTATAATAGAATGATTTCTAATTCTTTGGATATATACCCAGTCATAGGATTGCTGGGTCAAATGGAATTTCTATTTTTAGGTCCTTGAGGAATCGCCACACTGCCTTCCACAATGGTTGAACAAATTTACACTCCCACCAACAGTGTAAAAGCATTCCTATTTCTCCACATCCTCTCCAGCATCTGTTGTATCCAGATTTTTTAATGATTGCCATTCTAACTAGTGTGAGATGGTATCTCAATGTAGTTTTGATCTGCATTTCTCTAATGACCAGTGATGATGAGCATTTTTTCATATGTTTGTTGGCCTCATGTATGTCTTTTGTAAAGTGTCTGTTTATATCCTTCTCCCCATTTTTAAGGCCCCATTGAGAAGAACAACTGAGCAGAGGTGTGAAGGAGGTGAGGGCATCCACCATGCTGGTACATATTGGAAGAGTAGCCCAAGAAGAGGGGCCAAGGAGACAATCTACACAGACACTCTAGGGCTGACCCATGTCTCCCATGCTGAAGGAATCTTAATGAGGAGCCCAGAGCACCTGAAGCCAACCATGGAAGGAGGAGAGAAATAAGAAATGAGGTCAGAGGAGAAAGTAGGACATGATCACCAGGTCCTGTAGGTGTTGACGAGGATGGTGATTGCTCCTTGACTACTCACCAGGTAAGGACAAGATGGTAGCATTGTGGCAGTCAGAAGTGGTCAAATTCTGGATATTTTTGAATACAGAGCCTATAGGCTTTGCCGATGGACTGAGTTGGTTCCTTAACTCTCTGCCTGAGGGCAGAGATGGTGCCTTTCTTGCTTATCTTCCTGTGTGTCCACCACAATTTCTGGTCCATAGAATAACATTCAATAAAAAATGGACAGATGGGTAGATAGATAGGAGGATATATGGATGGATGATACATGAATGGGTAGATGGGATGAGTACGTGGTTAGGTGGGTGGATGGATGGATAGATGGATGAATGAAAGACTGGAGGGTGAGCGGGTGTATAAATAGGTGGGTGGATACTTTGATGGATGAATACATGGGTGGGTGGACAGGATGAATGTGTGTGTGTGTGGGTAGATGGGTGGGTGGATGTGGAGGTGGGTTGGTAGATGGATGGATGAATGAAAGGATAAGTGGGTGAGTGTGAAAGTGGGGGGTGGGTAGACACATGGATGGGTGAATAAGTGGATGAGTGGGTGGATGTGGAGGTGGGTAGGAGTATGTGGATGAATGGATGAATGGACACTGAGTGCTCTGATTTGTTATACTCATCAGATAGTTTACATATGAAGGTCCTTGACCACTGCCAGGCACTTTTTAGTTATTTAATACATGAATGAAAACTTTTAACATTTTGTTTTTTAAATAAAGATGCTACTGAATTTTACTCATGAAAGAAGGCTGGAGGAGGACATCAGTCATTTTGTTTACAGAGGGGGAGTGGCTACCCTCTGTGCCTGCAAAGAACTTTCATTCCCAGCAGAACACACAGGGGCAGAGAAGGGCTGAGAGCCTTTCCCTTGCCAATCAGCCATGCAGCCAATGAGCAGTTGCTCACTTCAGCCTCAGAGCGAGTCTCTCATGCCAGGTCATCAGCCAGGCAGTGGAAATATCACTGTCAGGACCAGGCTTCCTGCAATTCTTGCTCCAGCAGTTATGAATAGAGCATCAGGGCTCATTTTGGCTCATAAATGGAGCACAGTGAAAATAGAATCCACTACTGCCTATGAGATCTAACAAATATAATGTACAATTCTGGAGCAGATTGTTGCTACAGCTGAGCCTGCTTTGAGTAGAAATGCTCACAGCATGGGCTCAAAAGGCTCAGGGCAGAGTTTGTGCTCTGAGACTGCTCCCTGCAACCACAAGGACACGCAGCACAGCCACGAGCCACAAGCATGGCTCCACCGTCTCTGCCAGAGCAGCCAGGAGAGACACACAACTTGGGAACACGATGATTTGTCTCAAAAATGGTAACTGTTATCTTGTACCCAAGGTCCTGATTTAAAGTTGTTTCTATTGATTAATGTTCTCTCTTCTCTGCATGTCAAGATGACACAGGTGATTCATTCGTTTGTAGATAAAACATTTTTGTGTTTCAGTGGAAAACTGCACTGCCTATCCCATGCCCTCTGAGTTATCAGATTGCAGCCTGGTCCATTATCTCCCAGCAATTTTGAAACTCTTTGTAAATTGCAGGTAAGTCATAGATATGTAAATACTGTCACAGCTGGTAGTGGTTTAAATTGACTTCTTCCTACTTTGAAAGAAACAATTTTGTCTCCATTTGAAATTCATCTCAACGTTCTTTTACTAGACATAAATTTGCGCTGTTTTGACCTTTGCTGTGAAATGGTTCTGACATCTGCCTGCATCCCTCACATTATAAACATAAAATACATCCTCTAACAAGTGTCTGTATTTATATCTGTGTGCTAGTCATGGTTTTACCTTTTTCTAAAAATGTCCTTTTAACACATTCAACAAATATTTGTTAAATAGTGATTACGCACTGATAAGGTTTGGCTGTGTCCTCACCCCAATCCTATCTTTAATTGTAGCTATGTGTTGTAGGAGGGACCTGGTGGGAGATAATTGAATCACGGGAGCAGTTTTCCCCATACTGTTCTCATGGTAGTCAATATGTTTCACCAGATCTGATGCTTTTATAAGTGAAACCCCTGTTGCTTGGCTCTCATTCTCTTTTTTGCCTGCTGCCATGTTAAAATGTACCTTTCACCTTCTGCCATGCTGCCTCCCCAGCCACATGGAGTTGTGAATCTATTAAACCTCTTTTTATTTATAAATTATCCAGTCTCTGGTATGCCTTTATCAGCAGCATGAAAACAATAATACATGCACCAAGGACAGTGGTAGGTCCTGGGGCTACAAAAGTGAATGACACAGTTCTTGTTCACCAGCTTATGGCATTTCCCCACCATGATCAAAAAAGCTGAGAGAGTGACATCATCATCCATCCAATGAATGACATCATCATCCTTCCAGTGAGTGATATCACCATCCATCCAGAGAGTGATGATGTCTTCATCCATCCATTGAGTGACATTATCCATCAAGTGAGTGACATCATCATCCTTCCAGTGAGTGACATCATTATCCATCCAGAGAGTGATGTCATCATCCAACCATTGAGTGACATTATCCATCAAGTGAGTGACATCATCATCCTTCCAGTGAGTGACATCACCATCCATCCAGAGAGTGATGATGTCTTCATCCATCCATTGAGTGACATTATCCATCAAGTGAGTGACATCATCATCCTTCCAGTGAGTGACATCATTATCCATCCAGAGAGTGATGTCATCATCCAACCATTGAGTGACATTATCCATCCAGTGGGTGACATCATCATCCTTCCAGTGAGTGACATCACCATCCATTCAGACAGTGATGTAACCATCCATCCAGTGGGTGACATCATCATACATCCAGTGAGTGGTATCATCATCCTTCCAATGAGTGATATCATCATCCTTCCAATGAGTGATATCATCATCCATCCAGTGAGTGACATCATCATCCATTCAGTGAGCAACGTCATCATCCATCCAATGAGTGACATCATTATTCACCCTGGGAACACCACTAGCACCCATTTAGCAAACGGCACTGTCATCTTCCCAGGGAGTGGCAGTGTTATTCCTCCAGTGGCCAGCATCTTCATAACCCAGTGAATGACATGGTCAGCCACCCATCTTGCAGATTGACCTGGAAGTCTCAACTTGTGGATTCCTTATTTCTCATACTGGTTGAGAGGACCATCAGAATACCTCTTGAAGCTCCCATAGAAGTGTGACCCTTTCTTTCAGAGGACTGTTTCAGTTTAAAAGTAAACAGTGATTTGTCTGGTTATTTGGCTAATGTCTGAACATGGGTGCTAGACTGTAAGACACGTGAGATGAGAGTTTAAGTCTGTTCTTGACCTCTAGCCACAAGCTCTAGGTGCTCAATCACTATCTGCTGGAAGAATTCATTCACATAGTTTCTCAGCCTTTTATGGTGATAGTTAATATAAGCAAAGGATACTGCCTGATTTTAAGTGTAGGTAATGCCTTTGCAGGACAGAGATAGACAGTGTGAATGTTATCAAACCAAATTCAGGTCTGCTTGCCCAGACAAGAAAACCAAACACTGATGCTGGAATCACAGTGAGAGAAAGTGAAAGTGAGACATTTATTGCAAGGCACCAAGCAAGGAGCACTGGGCAGCTCATGTCTAAGACCTGAACTCCCTGATAGTTTACAGGTAAGGGTTTTAAAGGTGGAGAGGCAGAGGTTACAGGCAGTCATAAATGAATACATGGGAGCTGTATATCAGTTTGACCTAAAAACACAGGACATCTCAAATCTCGAATTGGAGGGGGACAGGTCATCGGTGGATTCAAAGATTTTCTGATCTGCAGTTGGTGAAGAAAGTAAAGTTTTCCTAAAAATTTGGGATCAACAGACAAGAATGTTAGCTGGAGCTCATGGGTGTGGCTTCCTTTCTCTGTGGGTGTAGCCACTCAGGAAGAAACTGAGATCACAGAACAGCAGTCACCATTCAGTCCTCAGTTCCCCCTTATCTGAGGTCTATGGGCCAGAGAATCCCTTTAGTGAAAGTCTGAGTTTCTGAAAGCAACTCAGAGACAGATGCTAAGATGGCTTCTTTAACTTCTGTAGAGAACCAAAAATTCCCTTGACTCTGACTTCCTCAGCTATTGTCTTAAGCAACTCTTACCTTCTCACTTACCAGTTTGCTCACTGACTGCTCAAGGTTAGCCAGGTGCCTGGAATGTTCCTGGAAGAAATTCAAGATTTTCCTTTATTTCCATGCTTAGGGGGCAAAAGGTCCCTGCTCCATCTCATGAAGAACAGTTTTAGTGTCAGATGTACCCATTATTGTATCATTATCAATCTCAAGAATTTCAGTGGCTCTGGCCCTTTAACATGAGATTTAAACTTGCAGAAAATGATTTCTAAAGTTCCATGGGGATAGAAATAGCTATTGTGTTTCTGTTCCTCCAGCTTTTAGAAGGAAAAAAGAATAGCATTCATTTTATATAATGCCCAAATATTATAACTCACTGGCTTAAAACTGTGTTCGCATGTTTTGTTAATTGGCAGCATCCTGTTTCCAGCTGATTTCTATGTGAACCATAAGTGAAAACACAGTTAAAGGAGATATTTTATCAGTTTGGATATTTTAAAATTAAAATTAGTAGTATGTAGGTGTAAACTCAACCACTGAGAAAGACGAGAGAATTCTAATAAATGTCGAAGTTACAATCAGGGATTTTATCTGTGTGGTGCCTTCATGTCCATCTTGGCATCTCAGTTATTTTGGTCTGTGGGTTTTTTGTAGCTCGGCACGGAGACTATCTGGACGTCTCACCTAATTACTTGTTGCCTTGGCGAAACTCCACTGTGACCCGGTAGCGCCGGGCGGATGCCTGTTTGTTCTTGCCATTATCTCAGCTGGAACACAAGCTGATTTACAGTTTTTCCGCATCCTCATTCCGACCCACCCCTTTTCCAAATGAAGCAACACCCAAAGCATGGGAAGGTTGTCTATATTTTACTGAAGGCCTCTGGAAGAAAGAAGGAAGTGGATTCATGCTGCTAACCACACAGCAGGAATGTCTTTGAGAAACATAATGTCCTTTGTTTAATCTTTGCACCTGATTCTCTGGTCTAATGATGTCAACGATCACATATCTCTTTGTCCTATTTCTTTTATTTATTTATGTTTTGTCCTGTTGGCCAGTTCAGCTACTATGCTTACAATATTCAGTGCCGCATACTGAATACCCAGATCTCATACTCAGTACTAACTTTAATCTTTCTGTTCCCACTAATTCCTGAGATATTCAATTTATTATATAAATTTTAACTTCTTCTTTTGAATGTATTAATTTTACTATGTAAATAACATAAATTTGTTATATTATTAAAAATCATCACCATAAAGCCACCACCTACATTTCAGCAATAAACACTGATTGTGTGTTGCTCTGCTTAAAAAAACAACAAAACAGAGAAACTCACATAGACAGCCCTGCTCACTCAACAGCCTGCTACGCCTGCAGACACCCCTCATCCTCTATCTCATCTCCCCCTTGACAGGGTTTCTCCAGTCTTTCATTCTAAGCCTTTCTCTCTTTCTGTCCTTTCTCCCCAGCTTTCTCTCTCCCTCTGCCTTGCTCCCCACTCCCCGCTCTCTTTAGTGCAGAAATAATTCAACTCTTTAGATTCTCTGCCTTTGCATCCCACACTCTAATACTAAAGGCCACCACCAGAACATGACTATTTACCCTGAGCAAACATGAAAGCCAGTTGAAGAGTCACCTGCCCTCCAAGTAAAGGAGCATTGCAAATAACATATTTATACAGATTTCCCCAACAGATCTGTTGGCTGCTTAAAAAGCAGTCATCAGATGTCTTTTTGTTTCAAAGTTTAATCCGTGAATGTTTTCTGTTCTCCTACTCCTTCCAGAGAATACAAAAGTCAAATAAGAGCCCCTAAGATTCACAGTAAGTGTCAGAAACACCTATAATGGTATACAATCCTGATACCTGATATTTCCCAAGAGATGGCTATTGACAAAGCTTGTTTTCTTGGCCAAAATTTAGCCAGTCCCCTGAAATATCCTGGGCTCATCTGCATACCTCCTTTTAAAATCCAGTTTTAGACCTTTTGCCCACTTTTTGTTGGGGTTGTTTGCTTTCTTCTTGTGGATCTGTTTTAGTTTTTTGTAGATTCTGGATATTAGCCCTTTGTCAGATGGGTAGCTTGCAAATTTTTTTTCCATTCTGTTGGTTGCTGGTTCACTCTAATGATTGTTTCTTTTGCTGTGCAGAAGCTCTTAAGTTTAATTAGATCCCATTTGTCTATTTTGGCTTTTGTTGCCATTGCTTTTGGTGTTTTAGTCACGAAGTCCTCACCTATGTCTATGTCCTGAATGATATTGTCTAGGTTTTCTTCTAGGGTTTTTATGGTGTTAGGTCTTATATTTAAATCTTTAATCCATCTTGAGTGAATTTTTGCATAAAGTGTAAGGATGGGGTCCAGTTTCAGCTTTCTGCACATGGCTAGCCAGTTTTCCCAACACCATTTATTAAACAGGGAATCCTTTCCCCATTGCTTTTGTCCAGTTTGTCAAAGATCAGATGATTGTAGATGTGTGGCATTACTTCCGAGGCCTCTGTTCTGTTCCATTAGTCTATATCTCTGTTTTGGTACCAGTACCATGCTGTTTCGATTACAGTGGCCATGTAGTATAGTTTGAAGTCAGGTAGTGTGATGCTTCCAGCTTTGTTCTTTTTGCTTAGCATTGCCTTGACTATGCAGGCTCTTTTTTTGGTTCCATATGAAGTTTAAGGTGGTTTTCTCCAGTTCTGTGGAGAAAGTCATTGGTAGCTTGATGGGCATAGATTGAATGTGTAAATTACTTTGGGTATTTTGGCCATTTTCACAATATTGATTCTTCCTAACCATGAGCATGGGATATTTTTCCATCTGTTTGTGTCCTCTCTTATTTCCTTGAGTGGTGGTTTATAGTTCTTTTTGAAGAGGTCCTTCACATACCTTGCTAGTTGTATTTCTAGGTATTTTATTCTCTTTGTAGCAATTGTGGATGGGAGTTTGCTAAAAATTTGGCTCTCTGTTTATCTATTATTGGTGTATAGGAATGCTTGTGATTTTTGCACATTGATTTTGTATCCTGAGACTTTGCTGAAGTTGCTTATCAGCTTAAGGAGATTTTGCACTGAGACAATGGGGTCTTCTAAATATATAATCATGTCATCTGCAAACAGGGACAATTTGAGATCCTCTCTCCCTCTTTGAATAAACTTTATTTCTTTCTCTTGCCCAATGGCCCTAGTCAGAACTTCCAATACTATGTTGAATGGTAGTGGTGAGAGAGGGCATCCTTGTCTTGTGCCAGTTTTCAAAAGGAATGCTTCTAGTTGTGTCCCATTCAGCATGATATTGGCTGTGGGTTTGACATAAATAGCTCTTATTATTTTGACATATGATCCATCTATGCCTAGTTTATTGAGAGTTTTTAGCATAAATGACTGTTGAATTTTGTCGAATGCCTTCTCTGCATCTATTGAGATAATATGTGGTTTTGTCTTTCATTCTACTTATGTAAAGGATTATGTTTACAGATTTGTGAATGTTGAACCAGCCTTGCATCCCTGGGATGAAGCTGACTTGATCGTGATGGATAAGCTTTTTGATGTATTGTTGGATTTGGTTTGCCAGTATTTTATTGAAGATTTTTGCATCGATATTCATCATGGATATTGGCATGAAATTTTCTTTTTTAGTTGTGTCTCTGAAGGGTTTTGGTATCAGGATGATGTTGTTCTCATAAGATGAGTTAGGGAGGAGTCCCTCTTTTGTATTGTTTGGAATAGTTTCAGAAGGAATGGTACCAGCTCCTCTTTGTATGTCTGCTAGAATTTGGCTGTGAACCCATCTGGTCTTGAAGTTTTTTTTGGTTGATAGGCTATTAATTGCTGCCTCAACTTCAGACTTTGTTAGTGGTCTATTCAGGAATTCAACATCTTCCTGGTTTAGTCTTGGGAATGTTTAAGTGTCCAGTAATTTATTCATTTCTTCTTGATTTACTGGTTTATCTGCATAGAGGTGTTTGTAGTAACCTCTGATGGTGGTTCATATTTCCATGGGATCAGTGGTGATATCCCCTTTATCATTTTTTATTGAATCTATTTGAATCTTCTCTCTTTTCTTTCTTATTAGTCTGGCTAGTGGTCTATCTATTTTGTTGATCTTTTCCAAAAACCCCAGCTCCTGGATTTATTGATTTTTTTAAAGGATTTTTTGTGTCTCTATCTCCTTCAGTTCTGCTCTGGCTTTAGTTGGTTTTTGGCTTTTGCCAGCTTTTGAATTTGTTTGATCTTGTTCCTCTAGTTCTTTTAATTATGATGTTAGGGTGTCGATTTTAGATCTTTCCTTGCTTCTCATGTGGGCATTTAGTGGACCCAATAGACATCTACAGAACTCTCCATCCCAAAACCACAGAATATACATTCTTCTCAGAACCAAATCACACATATTCCAGAATTGAGCACATAACTGGAAGGAAAACACTCCTCAGAAAATGCAGAACAGAAATCATAACAGTCTCTCAGACCACAGTGCAATCAAATTAGAACTCAGGATTAATCACTCAAAACCACACAACTACATGGAAACTGAACAACCTGCTCCAGAATGACTACTGGATAATGAAATAAAGGTGGAAATAAAGACATTCTTCAAAACCAATGAGAACGAAGATACAACATTCCAGAATCTCTGGGACACATTTAAAGCAGTGTCTAGAGGGAAATTTATAGCACTAAATGCCCACATGAAAAGTGAGGAAAGATCTAAAATCAACACCTTAGCATCTCACTTTTCAAATGTCATCCAAGTTTCAGAAATGGTTCCTCTGATTTGTGATATAATAGATATTTTATAAAATTGACATTTTCAGGCAGTGTAGAAATAGATGAAGAATAACTTAGCTAGCACTTGTGAAAATATGACCTAACTTTGCTTTTTGAGTTTAGTGTCAAGAAAACAAAGTTCTTTAAAGCCACTCTTTCTGGGGTTCGTCACTGTGATTAATCTGGTGGGTCTGATAGAATGAATTATATGTGACTAATATATTTCCTGAGCATTTATAATTCTCACAATGTCTTTTAATTACTTTCACGCGTGTCAGACAGATTTGTTAGGCACAGCATTTGAAGAGACAACATTTACCTTCAAAACCCTATGGA